TCCTTAACTTGAGAATATCTCTGCAGACTACGGTGAATACAGAAATTGAACCTACTATGCATTCTGGCCAACGCAGCCGACGTTTCGGCCTTAGCTATATCGTCGGAGTTGCGAGTAAGCTTCGCAGGGCCATGAAGTCAAACGTGACGCTATAATAAAACAGTAGCAACAGGCGATAGTAAGTTCCATAATTCTTAGTAAATACGACCTGAATTTAAATAGCAGTGACGTACTCTAATACAAGGCCTTTCTCCTAGGTGGATGCACACAGATTCTTACCAGCTCTTGGAAGACGCATAATCTTCTGTCGCATAAAATAGAACTTCACGTAGATACGGCTTTAATGGATTAGCCTGGAACTCTTGTTGCATGTGCGCATTTTTGACAACGAATTCGAACCATTATTGGACTCTAGTCTATGGCTCTTATGCGACTAATCGCCTCGAGCCGTTGAGAAATTGTGAAGTCGATGGTAACGTGACCTTGACTCTTATAAACGCTTCCTCAGGAGCCTTGCCTGTGCAGTGTCGCCCCCTACTTCGTTTAGCTTCGAACGAAGCAGTCACTTGGCACCAACGATTTGCTCTTTCCCGTTGCCACAATTCGTGGTGATGACGCAGCAGTACCAGCATGAATGCAATTTATCCACTCCGCTACATATTTAGGACTTAATATATTGTTGCTACACGTCGTAACAATATGTATATCGGTATAGATCTTAGGCTGTGACAAGCAAAGCGGGTTGAGTTTGAAGTTATGTAAGTTTTGAACTATCGCTAACAGGTGGACTTTGCATAATAAATATTCTACTATTATAGAAAGTTGCAGGTGAGAACTAGCTGAGTACACTCGGGGAGAAATAAGTTCACAAGGAGGAACATCTTTTAGTCTTGAAAATCAACGTTCACTGATTAAGATTTTGTTCCCCAAAAGCTATGGTGTAATGTAATGTTATCAAAAATCGGTGAAGATACTTACCGAAGCTAACGTGGAAGAGGTATCTTAAGGTCAGGAAGTTAATGGCTCTGTATGAAGGTTGCGGAAGTTCCAAACATAGAGCCAAACGCGTGTGAGCAAACAAAACAGGCAGTTGTACATGTTTGTGCATAATGAACTAGGCATTTTCGCGTTATTACCTTTCTGCATCTGACCCTAATAATTGTTTTTCTGTAATACGCCATTGAGAAGTGTTGAAGAAATCCAACAATAGATCCCATCAGCGCTTACAGAGACGACAAAACGATTCTCACCCGTAAAATTCAACTTTTCTCAGGAAGGTAAAAGTAAGTTATACATTTCGTGGAAAAATATTTAACCTCTGCATTTTGTTCTCGAGCGTTTACACCTCTCAAAAAAGGTCAGACGAAATAATATAAACAACACAACGTAACTAGTAGATTTTAGGAGAAAGTTATTATTCGAGTGCAGTATTATCAATTGCTTGGGTCGTATCTGCAATGCAATGTCGTAAAGTAATGGAATACTCTTACGTGAACGATGAAGATGATTGAACAAGCGAAATCCTCAAGCAGCTATGATCGCATGTTTGGAAGTTTGGCATATTGAAAGAACTGGCCTAGAATGCGGTCTGTTTTAAATCGAATCTTAAGACACATACTAGGATAGTGCGGCCTAGTGTTACGGTGCATACCGACTATATTACTAAGGTATAGGTACTGCTGTTGCCATTGCTATTTGAAGTTAAGGTGTACATATCACATGTAAATGTCGGCACGTGATACGAATCACTGTCGAATACTATTTTGAAGAGTGAAGATTGCTAAGGTTTAGTTTGTTGCAGAGCAACAGTATGGTTAGGGTGATTAGGACGAAACTAACAATGGAAACTTTTACTTAATCGAATGTTCCTAGTTGAGGAAAAAAGTAACTCGGTTCCGAATCGAGTAATAAGTTCACAAAATCTGCAGTGTGATTTTAATCCATAACAACTCCTTCTATTTTTTTCATTCGAGCGTGAAGTTAACAATGAAATAGATGGGCTAGGTATTTTTCGCATTTCTACCTGTTTGTACCTGCCCTGTCCTAACAATTATTTTTTCTATTTCAAAGAATGCAATACGTCGTTCCCAAACGTTGTAGACGTCGAAAAGTGGGTTTCTCCATGGATTATAGAGATTTCAAAATGTTCATCCCACGTAGAATTTAAGTTTTTCTAAGAAATACGTAAATAAATACGTAAAAAGATACTTAGTTTCTGTAATATGTTCTTGAATAGGACAAAAAAGGTCAGGACAAATTCACCATTCTGATAATGTAATCAATACAACGAAACTAGTAGACTTTAACAGAAAAAATACAACACCATTATTTCTTATGTTTCAAATGCAATGTCGCAGCTTTATCGAATATTTACTTGAACCAAGTTGCCGTGGTACGGGCTTAGCCTGAAGGCAGACAACTAGACCCCATCTTATATAAATAAGTACGCAACAAAACTGCCGCAACCCTGAAAAGGAAATTTCTTACGTCCGAAAAGCCGATTAGCCCGAAAAGCAGCCATAAAAAAAAGGCTTTTTTGTCTGATTAAGTTTGCCCTTCTGCACAGCATGATAGAGGGGCTGCATAAAAGATTATGAGCGCAGGTTACGCTGAAGCCTCATATTACACTTTCAGATATCACTCATAAAAAATACATAGCTCAAAATTCAGAGTTTTCTCCAACAATTGTAATGTTCCATAATAGGAGAAGGCCAATCGTTCAAGTGTGCTGCACACTTCAATAACATAACACTTCAAGCACAAATGGCTAGAATACAAAAGATGTACGTGTTAATGGGACAGAGAAAACGTGGAACAATCGCAACAGAAGCTTCAGGAGAGCCGGATTAATAACGGCGATGCTTCTAAATGTCCCATTAAACCCATAGCAAACGGCCAAAAGAACCATCTGAATCTCTTCCGATCTATAATAGTTTTACCAACCACTATTATTTTAGGTATCTCCTATTTGATAGTTAAGTATGAAGACATACACATAACGATACTGAGTTTTTTGTAGCAGAAGATAGCTCCCATCTCTATTGGCGTGCGCAGTAAAAAAGCCAATCATTTTAATTCTAAAATGGTCGTAATCATTCGCTTGCTCCTAATGGTAGATCCTAATGCAACCTATCCAGCTTAGTAGTTCTGAATGATATGTTTACGTTTGTTGTTTTCTTTTATCAAAGGCTAATGTGTTTGGCGACGAACAGAAGATGGGAATGATAGATAATAGAACTTAAATTAAATTTGTCATGTAACGTCATAAACGTAGGACAGAAGGCGAAGACCACAAACTAAAATCACTACTGCATAATAAAAACAATAAAAAAAATACGGCATGATAAAAAGTGCCGTTTTATTCTGTTATTTTAGAAAACAGACTAACAATAAAGTTTAGTCACGCTTTCAGCATTGTATAGATAAATAAACTTTAACACTTAAACAAGTGTCCAAGTTCGATGCAATCATTCACGTTCCTTATTAACGCCTTTCGAAGCCGATAAATCGTAGATACGTGAACGAGCTGATGTTCCCAGATCTTGCCTAATCAAACCGTGACAACTAAACATCACCCTCTCATGAATTTAGATTTTGTTTATAAACTTACATTTCTGCAGGTAGAATTTATTGGTACGATGCATTATTAGATCATTTGCAACAAAATAATTTTTGCAAACGCATATTTATTCATAATAGAACAAAGAATCCTGCAGTTCGTTTGCAATGGTACCTTTTGTCAAAGGTACTACGTTCTTCTTCAATGCAGCATTCTTGCCTCATCACTTTATCGCAACTCCACATATTATCACTTTGGAAAGCCCTGATTGAAGGCAGCTTTGAGGTCAAGGGGAGGTACCATAAGGCGCCTGCAAATAACTGTCCTTAAAGGTTCTCCTTGTACTTTGGAATAACGATAATCAAACAATATGCGAAGTAATAGCGACGGAAATATTTAGCATACGCCTGTGCTACTATGTACATATACGACGCATGCTAAGTATTAAATAAACAGTAGATGAAGCCATAAGAGCTTCTGTTGTATCCTCTAGCGCGACAAGCGCGTGAATGTGGTAGGCCTTAGCTGGGAATGTTGTGCAAAGTACCATTAAGGCTCTGCCAAACACGCTACAACATGGAGTACCTGACCGCTATATTTGTCAAGTCAGAGTAAAAGACCTTCAGGACGATAATTTTAGATCGGGTTAGCTAAGAGATAAACCAAACATCTTGTCTTTACTTCTATTCTACTCTCATTAACAAAGCTTCTATATTTAAATTGGCATTTGAATTTTTACTAATTCTGAAAAGTTTTGGAAAAAGAGTTTGCTAGCTGGTGGAACGCAAAGACCGCTGAAGCGGAAAAAGTAACCACGTTTTGAATATGGTCTGCGTGACAACAGTGGTAACATCACACTGAACATGTTAAATGAAAGTAGAAACTTTTAGTCTTTAAGCTTAACTCTTTTAAAAGTAAGTTTCTCCCAACTTCTCCAACAATCAAAAAAGTTCAAAATTTTCAAAGTTTCCAAGCCGTAAAAGTGCTGTCACGCATTCTTACTTAGTCTGTTTTTCCAATCCCCTTCAGACGCCCAATCGTTACACATGAGGTATTAGCTAATTTACTACCCATTATTCATGGCTTTACATAGTACAAACGAGATATTCTTAACCAACACTACAAGTTTTACTAGAGAAATGGAGACGTCGTTTGTATCTATTCAGATATAGACTAATTTGAATCCATCTATAACCAGATGAAATTAGTAGATGAGGCCAACCAACCAATCAAGTATTACGGCCATATGCCACCTTTTGAGCTCGTCAGCAATGGGGATAACCGTATCTATGTATGTGTTTGCAATTTCGGCTGGCAAAGTGAATACAGAAGACAATAGTGAGGAGTACGAAAGAGAAAGAAAACTAACATATAACAGGGAAATTTTCTGTATTTAGAAGTCTGCCAAAAAAAATATCGCGAAGTAACTATGGTCGTTACACCTGCAGGAGTCGTCAGAGGTTGCCGTAGCAGTCGTGGCCGCCGGCGCTGCTGTTAAAAACACGAGGTGATACCGAACGACGCAATGGATACGTTAAAAGCTTGTATTACTGCTACTGTTACCAAATGAGCAGAGTCCTTCGATTTACGTTACGTTTTACTTTTTTGATTGACATTAACAGTAATTTCTATCGTCTTCATCACCTGAGGTTGCGGAGGGGCATTCTATCTATGAGCGACTGCTCATCTTCATCCAATATGACGCATTGTCTTGTGGTCATGCCGCACACCCTAGAGCCACTGCAGCGTCGAACTGGATGACACAGCAAATCGCTTAACACGAGTAGTGAATCGTTATTAGCCTATATTTGTCAGGATAGCTGACTTGCTCATTTTTCCAGCAGACTTGGTCTCAGTTACGTTGAGCCTAATAGCTCGCGTTTAGCTTTGAAGACAGACAGGCAGGTAAAGGCCAACCGGCCGGTCGGCCATCCGTCCGTCCGCCTGGCTAGCCGCTCGTCGCCGCTCGTAGAGCTACTGCTACTGCCCTCCAAGGCGACCTTCTCCCATCAATTTCCAACTTGCCCATTGGTGCCATACAGGCTGGCCATCCGTCCACTAAGCCTAGCCTAGGGGGCGCTAGCTAGGAAATGTCGATGGGGGAAATCGGTGCAGGAAGGGAGGAAGGTGCGGACCACGGCACGATAGTGGCGCCCTCTTGCTATCCTTCGAGAAGCAGCAGCCCGGCCAGGGGGCGTGCCTGTCAGTCGCCTAGAGAGCATTGAAGTCTTGCCCGTTGGCCGTTTTCGGATTGTTTTTCCACAAAATTTAGCCCGTTTTGTCGTGAGTGACCGTGGACAAGATCGGATACCACCTCTGAGGAGTGGCCCACACCAGCCAGGGTAAGTACAAGGAGGTTATGGATCAGGTAGCATACGGCCGCACCCTTTACATGGCTACTGCAACTAGGGCTTATTATCTCAGCCCATAGCGTATTATCGACCCTGCTGACTCGTACACGTAGAGCAATGAGCCTGCCAACTAGCAACCCAGTAGCACTAGCAGACTATACATACAGCAGCTGACCATGTGTTGGGACTGCGCCATGGCCCAGGGTCGCAGCGACCGGTGCGGCCCCACCCGCGACCGCAGCTAGTGTAACTGCTGCTGTTACCGCTTCCAGTGGCAAATATATCAAGATGCTTCGCCGATTTCGACGCTCTGGTGCCGAAATAAAGACTGATGGCGACGATCGGCACCGCCAGCTGCCTAAGCAGCAAAACTGCGCAACGTCAGACGATCAAGAGGGACCGATTCTGCGCTGTACAAACCGGCGTTAGATGCACGATGCGCGTGGGAGGGGCTGTCCGTGTGCAGTCACGAGTTTTGTGCTGTGTGACGTTACAACAGCTCCTTCGAGCCATCTCGAAGATCGAATGAACTCGTTTGTGGAAGGCCGCTTCGTTATCAAAACTAAATGTATTATATATTTAATAGTCCCACGTATAGCCATATATCCAGTGGCTGCCTTCTGAGCCTACTTGCTAGCACTAATTTTCTTACTGTTACGTGAATTTGACGGACGGAAAAGAGTTGGAATCGAAAAAAAAAAAAAAAAAATAAGTACTTGCTTGTGGCTGTTAAAAGTTCCAACAGCAGCGGCAGCAGTAACCGTACGTACTCGTTTTTTTCACATTTAGTTCTGTTTGTTGCCATGAAAGCGGCATCATCTTTCTTATAATAATGCTAAGACGAACACTTAAAAAGGACACCACGGGACTAATACGTGGCGGCCTAAAATATATATACCATACATATGTATATTACGGATACAATGTTAAAATTCGTTAGCGGTTTCAAGAGTGGCTGTCGAAATGAGGACGGTTACTTGAAATAATGCCCTCGGGCTTTCGATAGGCTGGTATTTGCAATGTCAAAACAACAGAGTCAAAAAATGAAGGTTCGGTAGTACGACTCCAACTCTTCCATAACTGCCAATTCTCTGATCGGAAACATAGGTGTATAGTACTTGGCTATGTGTATGATAGTTTTTAAATTCATGAAGAGATAAACGGGGTGAGACTAGCATACGTCCATTTACGGGTAGGTTGCGAGCCGGCCGCCACCGTTTCCTCCATAAAATTGTCGGCTAGACTAGTAGCCATGCTCGTCAGCATAACAGTGCTTGTCCGGTTAGTGAACGAGGCAGACTGAACGGCAAAGCCAATCAGCTGGGCGTTCCCGATCGAGTGCGCGAAAGCCCAAAGGCCTTTATCTGTCCTATATATATATATTGCATGGACGTTGCTTCGATCCATTCCTCGACAGATTGTGCTAGTCATCGTCAACGGGCCTCCGCATATATCGGGAACAACAATCCGATATTGAAACCGCGCCCACCCGACCTATTGCTATTGCTGATGCCAATGATGTACGAATTGAAGCTGTCTGTATACGTATTTTGTATGTTGACCGCGCACTATATCTCTATTAATATCATTATTTGTACAGGAAGGGTATACATTAAAGGGAGCTTACAACATCTAAGTTAGGCATCGAACAATGGGTTCATGGGCTAATCTTCTATAAGTGTAAAGCATGTACACCATTATCACGCTTAATTTATGTAAAGCTTTTGATAGGGAAATACGTTGAAATAGAAATATGTTGCATGATATAAAATTACAGTCTTTGTAATACGGAGGTTTAAGGGACGAGAAAATATTCTACTTCTATTCACCGTTTTATGTTTATGTATCCGTTTTGGTTGTGTCAATTTGTAATCAGACTTTTTCTATCAATCTGATCACGGGATCTACTGACCGTGATCCAGCAAGCGCAAACTGAATATCTTCTGTGATGAAGATTATTATAATTTAAAGAACTATTTGCTCCAGTTAAGGCGTAAATGCTATAGGTAAGGCGGTCCAAACTGGATGAGGATCTCGATTATGAGGCGAAAACCGTAATTGTGTCGAGTAGAGCTAAATAATGCTAAGAGAAAAATATCATTAATAAAATTAATTAGACCCCACTTTTCTTTTGTGGCAAAGATGATGGCGCCGGCGGGCAAAGAAAAAAAGCGGAGGCAACTTCACGAGCTCTGATGACGCCTTTTCAGAAATGAGTCCAACTATTTTCTACCTGGCTAGTCGAAATCGATTGGCTAGACAGAAGACACACAAACTAGTGCGCTAATAATAACAATGTCGATCTGCATGCGTGCAGTGTACAGCTTACCTTTGCGAATGGTGCGCTATCTCTCATTCCCCGTTACGCGAGGGAGCACCAGAAACGGCCTTTTCCGGATAGCCCACGCGTAGACGATGGAAGACTACCTAAGCTGGGGGGGGGATCCTTTATTAGCCATAGCATTTGCCTAAACCAGGTCTTATCAGATGGCGATTGCCTTTTTAGCCGAAACGCTTATTATAGTACAGTGTAAGCTGACTGGAAGTTACCAATGTTATCTTTGTGGTCGAGTAACGCTGTTGACCTTCCTCGAAATTCAAACTCACGATTCTATGTCACTGTTGCTTTTATGCCGATTCTTTTGGCCGTCGACCCTAGACAAGGTTATAACATGAACGTAAAGGAAATAAAACTCATCTACCGATTAATTGACCGCTTCACTTTACACTAACAATGACGGGATGGGCTTCATGAGATGCTGGTTCATTATCTTGACAACCAAATTGCATGACTGGAGCATACAAAATGAGCGAAGCCAAATTTCGAGGGACAAAGCGCACCACCCAACCGCGAAGTCTGCTTCATTGAGTACAGCCTAGGTTGTTTCGGAAAACGACAGCACCTACATTTATGCGCATGGTCAGGAAAGTCGCTATACATTAGGGTTTTGTTAGTATCGATATCACTGCTGGATATCAATTCGCAAGTAGACATTTCTCACTGAATCGGCGTTAGTTCCCCCTGGGATCCTGTTGTCTCTGCTGTAGATTCTTTGGACTATCGAGCTTGACGTCGGGATTGGTCCTTTCAAATATGGGAGCCACAGTTCTATCAAAAGACGATCTGTGTAATGGCGCGAGTGAGCATATGAGGAAAAGCGAGCAACGGGAAAAATAACAATACTTCTTTCATGCATGCTACGCACTGAATGGATAGTAACAGTGGTCGCGGTACCCGAAACGTCCTATCGTAATGTGGGACGCCGTTGCCCGCGTCGTTCCGCGCATAATTCACTATTGGCACGTGTAACGACCTCAGAGTACAAGCGTCAAGCATGCAGCTGTGAAACTACTCTGCGCTGTTTGAGGCCGCGTCGTGCAGGCACGTATCGCCAATAACTTCTATCCGCGCCGTTGATGTTGTACTGAAGCCGACAAACTGCTGTAACACGAAAGGCGAGTGTGTTCGATCGGCAAAGATAATGCTAATAGTAAAAACAACTGTCTTAGATACTCATCAGCTTCCTTACTTACCGACTTATGACAGGCAAGATTAACACTACCATTTGAGATCACAATTTATACCTCTTGCCATGAGACATATTACAAACCTAACTAGTTCTTTTTATATTCACCGTATTTTATTTAAAAAAGAAGCAGCCGCGTATGTCGCAACAGTCAAGCCGATAAGCGATTCTATTACGAAAACGTTTTTCTAAAAAAAAAAAAATAAAAGAGGCGGCTTTAGGCTACCCAATGTGTTAAGACTTGATTGTATAGATTGCCGATTAAAGCAATGCCTAGTGGCGATATTGGACATTAAAGTCGAAACATTTATTTCAACAGATTGAAATTAGAACGTAGGAATGAGGTAAGGCGTTGCGTACCGACCCAGGTCGTGAATGGGTTTGTGAGCATGTGCTGGTCTAAATTATAAACCCGGCGTTGACACAGCTCATTTCCCGCTGGTAAGTTCGTCTGAAGCAACTAACTAATCTGTCTAACTAAGGCAGTTCCGGACGTAAAAACTCGAAACACTTAGGTAGATTGAGATCGACTCGACTGATGCTTTAAATATCTTTGGGACATATCTCCACAGTCATACCGGCAGGCAGCACGACGAAATGCAGCATATGCATCTACACATTGTAAAAGTGTCAGTTTTTTTTTCTTATAGAGAACTGAAAACGTGGGTTTTCATCGTTCTTGTGCAGATGGCTCTGCCCCTATAAAAGCCATTGTCGACCGTGTTCCTATTTGTGGTATTTCAAAATGTGATAAAATCTCTTAAAAAGACCGTTGTTTACATGAAGATTTTCAGAAAAGCACCTCCAAATAGAACTTATATTCCCATTAGTCGTGTTTTTATCACAGGGAAGTTACATGGAGAAATATACCACTGGAGCCTATCGAATGCTTTCGAACTACTACAATAGATTTGCTTTATGTCTAACGTGAACTCAACACTAAGCAAGCTTAGCTAGAGATTTTCCCCACTCTTTTCGGGTCTCTGTCTATGTATTGGTTCCATGTAATGATGCAATACACAGGTAAATAACAAACGTTTTCTGATTTTAAGAAATGCCAGAGGATTAGTGGCTCAACGGATTAAAGACAGATCGTTCTTAAGTTGAAAGATTGAACTTACATTACAAACGTAGGAATGTAATAGCTTTTACGTGTAGAACTTACGTCTAGTTGGTAAGAATTAAGGCGACGATTTCTAATCTTTGTTTTTGATTATATACTTTATCCTAAAACGTGGTCGGTATGCCATCCCTTAGTAGTCTAAGGGCATAGACAAACGAAATGTTTTAACACGAAGACAGCATGTATATCGCTTGTAAGGTAACTTTATTTAAATGTTATCTTTGTTCTTAAAGCGATGACTGTTTTCTGCTTAAATCAGAGCCAATGACATTGATTAGCTGTAGATTTAGTACACTCCTCATAGTTTCTTCAAAGCTTCTTGGGAAAATTCATGTGTCAAC